CGTCCCCACCGGCCAGGCCGGGCTGCCCCCTGCCCCCCTCGCTGGCCATATTGGGGGTAGCGAGGGGGAGTGGTTATTTCTTGTGGTTGTGTGTGTTTGTTGTTCAGGTTAAAAAAAGGGAAATTGAGACTGCAAGTGGGTGAGGTTGTGGGTTTGGGGGGTCGCCCCCAATCCAGGCATGCCCCCCTTGTAAACGAGTCTCCTTTATTGCCTGCCTCTGCTGTGAATTAACTTGTTCTGTGTATTAAACTGGGCCTGACCCCTCTGCCACGACTACCTCCTTCTCCAGGCTGGTTTGGGGCGTCACCAAGAAGGGGAGCTGGGGCCTCATTTGGGGGAGAAGCAACTGAGGTTAACAGCTGGAGCTGGCCCCTACCTCCATCTCTCCCCTATACCCCCCCCTTTCTCTGGCTTTGTCCCACCTCCTCCCTGCCTTGGCAGAAAGAAGAGGGGGGATGGGGTGGAGGGGGCTCCCGCCCAGCCAGCTGTGGTTGCCCTGGCAACAGACTACTGCAGCTGCAGCAGAAAGCAGAGAGGAGGGAGGTGGGGCGCTGGGGCTGGGGGAAGGGAAAGGATGGACAGATGAAGCCTGTCAGCCCCTCCTGGGCCGGGGTAGAGGGCAGGGTGCCAGGAGCACCTCCTCCTAGTACCAGACATCACCTGGGACTCCCCGTGAGGGGCCAAGGGTGGAGGGGAAGGAGCAGGGGCGAGAAAGACAGGGACAGACACAGGGCCATTAGGAGAGGCTGAGATTTGGGTGAGGAGAGGGAACCAGGACAGAACGGTCAGGAGAGAGACAGATATGAGAGTCACAAATCTATACAGAATCAGAAAAAAGACAGCAGGAGAGAGCAGAAGAGGGAAGCAAATCTGGAGAGATAGATGAGGAGAGCCATAGGAATTATGCAGGAAGAGACGGAGATTTAGTGGGAGAGGAAATAATATTAATAAAAAATAGTCACATTGGGGAGACAGGAGGAGGAAGTGGACAGTGACTTGGAGAGAAAAGAGATTTGACGGGGGAGGCAGAGAACCAGGGCACATAAATTAGAAAAGGTAAGAGGAGAGGCAGGCTGGGGAGACAGTTAGGATCCAGGGACAGCCAGTCTCAGGACAAGGACACGGAGATGAAGGAGATTTCATGGGAGGGAAGGACACAAAGAATTTAGGGAGACAATAGAAAATCTTGAGCGAGCCAAAGGTACGAAGAGATTCAGGATGATTGGGCGAGGAGAGAGCCAGGGATGGGGTGGGAGGGAGAGACTGGGGGAGGCTCCAAGAGGCGCCCGTGGGAGGAAGAGGGGGATGGGGCAGAAGTAGAAATCAGGCAGAATGGGGAAGGGACAAGCAGGGCACAGTTCAGGCGAGAGCGAGGGCTGGCAAGTGCATGTGTGAGTTGTGGGGTGTTGGAAGTTGGTGTGTGTCACCGGCGCCAGGAGAGGATGTGAGAACAGCTTGTTCCACCGTTTCCTGGTGGGGGGAGGGCAGCTGGGTTGAGGATGGGGCCTCAAGAAGGGTGGGACAGGGAGAGTGTCTGGAACACTCTAGAATTTTTAGGAGATGTGGAAATAGCTGGTCCACCTCCTCTAGAAAAAGGATATATACCCGTTTTGGAAAAAGTTATTTTGTGTGTGATGGTAAGGGAAGGGTCTGGGTCAGAGAGGGATCAGGTTTGAGCTCAGAGATGGAAACTCAAGGGCAGGTAAATAGGTGAGGTGGGCCGGAGAGACCCAGCCACCTGGCTAGCCCTGGCAAGAGGTTGGGCTGCCTCTCAGATCCAGATCGAGGCCAGACCTTGGGATTTTTGCCCAGACCGTGGAATTTCGAGATTGGGAAAATCAGTTTGACCATGATCCCTGGGTGAGACTGCAAGGGTTCAGAGCAGATCTGGGGCCCAGAGTTCAAGGCTCCTCCCCAGCTAGGAGAGTTTCTAGAGGAAGGCCTGGGCCAGGGCTGGTCATAAGGGACTTGTCTATCTTTCTGCAATACCTCTACCTCACTGTGTCCCTCCCCTCTGGAAGCAGAGGGAGGCTACTCCTCCCATTGGGGGGAGGGGTGCAAATAAGCCAGAGCTGGGGTGGGGTGTGGCCTGGGGTGGCGGCCTAGCCAAAGCAGGCGTGGTTGGGCCCTTAGTTCCTGAGTCTTGCTGCAAAGGACAGTTACCAACCTGGAAATCTGGCTTTTTGTTCAATCTCCAGATTTTTAAAAGTTGACCACTACTTCTAAAACTAACACAACTTTGTTGGCTGGGCCCGCTTTCAGGCCTTCAGTATGTGACTTCTGAGGTGGAATCTCCCTCTTTTTTAGCTTAAGAAAGGCTTTTACGTTCTGAGTGGTGGATTTCTGTCATTTGGGTTTCAAGGAAGGAAGTTTGCAAGGCTGGTGTTCCCTGGCTCTTAGGGAAGTGTGT